GCCATTGGTGTTTTTGCCCCGCAATCCCACCAAGCGAAAAGTCGAGAATGAACAAGTTTAAATGACGGGCGCGCGGAGCAAAAGCACGCTTATTAACGGAGGCACAGAGCGAGATTTAAGAAATAAAACGGCGGGTTGTGGCGCAAATATACGCTTATAAGCGCCCCTGCACCCCGTCCGTACAAATTATTTGTTAATTTTAGATCTATCCAGTCCAAATTTACAACAATCTGCTTAAGACACTTCAGAATTCAATATTGTTGATTTCTTAAGAAATGTCAAACATGTGTTTAATAATGTTTCAAAAATAAATTTGGAGCATGTTATTTGTTTAAGCACTGAAGGAAGCAGCAAATCAGCAAAAATAATGTACAAGAGGTGACTTGTATGAGAACATTTTAAAAACCAATTTTCCTACACGTATTTCAAGAGCTTGCCCGTGCAAATTATTAAAAATGTATAAAACTGTGTTATCTACGGTTACAAACTTCAAAATGGTAAGACGTAGAATTAGTGATTTAGTAGAAGGCATCGTGCACGGCCTTTTGAAGAAAAACATGTTGTACAGAAAAATAGTAAAAAGAACAAACGAAAAGTGGGTATACTGTTTCATCGGGGTACAACATTCCAAAGGTTTTATTCCCACGTGAAAACGTGAAAAAGGCAACGTACTACTGTTACAGATAAGGTCATCCGAAACATAATACGCATGCACCAAAACAAAAATTAAAGTGTACATAAGCTACCTAACAAGAAAATTCAGAAGAGACGTCTGTATCTCCGCTTAAATAGTGAAATAGTTGTCACTGTTTTTTCAAAGAACGTAGGGTCAAGTATTTAACCAAAAAGGGAATGGATACCAAAGAGTCCTGAGTCAGCAACAATGGACTTTGGAATCTGAAGCATCCTTAAACGCCGATTACGAAAGCGATAAATTTACACTTTTAGTTGACTTAAAAACTGGAGCAATCTACTATTATTATGACACTTTAAAGCTGTTCGAGGCAATGAGAATTATCTGCTATGCCCATGGATCACAAATTGAACATTTGTTACAATGAAATAAAATAAATGGAATAATTAAAACAGAGTGAACAGTGTTAACATAAATACTTATTTCATTTAGTATATAGAAAATATGTATAATAGTTTTGGAAACTGTAACAAGATTCTAAAAATAAAAAAAGTTTTAAGGAAATAAAATTGACAGCATATGTGAGGCATAATAAGTCTTTCAAGTGAAATTTAAAAGAAACGATTGTCTGAAATACAAGTCATGATTGTCACTGCATCCAGTAACATATTTTGTCTGTTATATGCATTCAAGCATTTTCTTTTCAGCTGTATATGAGATAATGGAGAAGAGACCATTAATAATAATGGGGTTTGAGACTGATGTAGATGTTTACAGTAAGTAAGACTTCAAAAATCTATAATTACCGGTTTTACGATCCTTGAAGATCGTTCAGCACGACATTTTTGTTGTGCTTGTGTTAATTTAGTTCTTTATATTCGGCTAATTTCTTGTTGGATGGTTCCAGTATTCCACACTTGAATACTGTTGAATCACCCTTAGGATATGTGGCCTGCTTTTTAAATTTGTCTTTTGGCGTCTTATCTGTGATATACGGAAGCGTCCTGGTGCCAATTTAACATTTTCTATAAAAAAATAACTCCTACGTAGGACTTTATAAGTCCTACGTAGGACTTTATAAGTCCTACGTAGGAGATAAAAAAGCCTAATTAGGAGTTTATAACTCTTACGTAGGACTTTGTAACTCCTACGTAGGACTTTATAACTCCTAATTAGGTTTTTTTATCTCCTACGTTATAAAGTCCTACGTAGGAGATAAAAAAAAACCTAATTAGGAATTTTTAAGTCCTACGTAGGAGTTTAAAAGTCCTACGTAGGAGTTTATAACTCCCACGTAGGACTTTTTAAGTGTTCTTCTATGTAGGAGTTATAAAGTCCTACGTAGGAGTTATAAAGTCCTAATTAGGGTTTTTTTCAATCCTACGTAGGAGTTATAAAGTCCTACGTAGGAGTTTGTAAGTTCTACGTAGGACTTTAAAACTTCTAATTAGGCTTTTTAACTCCTACGCAGGAGTTATAAAGTCCTACGTAGGAGTTTGTAAGTCCTACGTAGGAGTTACAAACTCCTAATTAGGCTTTTTTTATCTCCCACGTAGGAGTTATAAAGTCCTACGTAGGACTTATAAACTCCTACGTAGGACTTATAAACTCCTACGTAGTTACAAACTCCTAATAAGGCTTTTTAATCTCCTACGTAGGAGTTTTTTTTTATAGAACATTATGAATTGGCACCAGGACGCAGGCTTCATAACCTCTGATCCCCTTTTAGAATTCCATTTTATTTAGTTCCGCCCATTGTTTTTTCGTTTAGGACACAGGCAATTTTTAACTTGGGGACCATATGCCGCTTTTCATGGAATGGCACTTACGAGTCACATTGAAGGTTCCATGATAACCGCCATATGATTACATCTGCGGATGTTTCTAAATTCAAAATTTTACCAGTTCATGTTAAATGTTGAATTCTGCTTAAGCCGGTGCTAGGGCGCGTGGACGGTAACTTGCACTTTCCAGTACCGTCCATGAACAGGCTCAACCAAACCGATCCTGCAACATTTCACAATTTTGCCGTATTTGGTCTTTCTTCAGGGATTCTTAGTTTCTCTATTTCAATACTTTTGTTTAGCCGCGTTAAACAGTTTCCCTTTGACATTTTTCATTTTTTTTATAAAAACAAATCTCTTTTTATGTATGAATATAAGAGGAAAGTGAGTGAAATTAAAGATTCAGTAATAAGGTTTTTGACTCCTTTGAAAAATAAGACAAAAAGAATATGTGAAAATGATATCATGCCTTTTACAAGCGCTGGTAAAGGAAACAGAATTTAACTCTTTGCCACAAAGTTTTGAGATTTTTTATTATGCATAAAAAATGAACAATAACCAATTTTTCATGTTGAATTTCTATCAAAATTTTTCAGAATTTTATCATGTATAAATCAAATGATAAAAGTGTGGGACAGTCTTTTTTTGATTTTAGACATTTTTATATTTTTCATTATCAGTTATTGGTCAATGAAGACGTTTAACATATTTGTTTTTAAATATATATCTTATTCAGCTAAATTTGACAGCTCAAAAATAAACATAATATCAATTTAACTATCAATCATGTTGTTTTCTCAATCTATCACCCAATTTGTTTTTGAACATAATAAGTAATTACAATGAACGTAATGATGACATCAACGGCTGGAAAAAAAGTATTTGACTGTTTAAGAAAATAACTGATTAAAGATAAGAATAATTACCGGTTTTAGGTCGGAGAGATATATAGAATGAACGGACAAAGTGGACTAAATAATCATGTTAATAGAATTTTATTTCTTTTTCAACCTAAGTTTGATGATTAACTATGATACAAGACTTTTTTGTTTTCACTATCAGAAAAACATCAGTTTAAAACTTATTATATGAAAGTATTTTGAATTCTTCTTGGGGTGATGTGTTTAAATGGACGTTTTGGTGTGTTTTGCTATGAACATATAAGTATGAACATTTATTAGCAATATTGTAAATATCTTGAATATTATGAGGTCCAAAACAATTAAATGACACATAAGCCTGTTATTTCTTAAATGTAACCTAGAATTCAAAGAAGTATACAATAGGGTGAACGTTTCGGTAATCTAAAACGCGGCGTTCGTGCGTGCGTATTTCGTATATCTTGCTATAATTTTCTTATCCATAAACAGATTTTGAAAATACACAATTGTTCATAAAAATAAGACGATATAACCTGCACAAAAACAAGTGGCTTACCTCCAAGGCCAAGGTCAAAGTTGGAGGTCAATTATTAACATAGTCTGTCACAGGGTATGTTTTGTCTCCGGTCTATCACTGTTTCAAAGACCAAGGGATTTTGAAATTATTTGGAATAAATGTTCACAAAAGAAGACACTGTGTCATGCGTAAAAACAAGTCGCCTTCCTCCAAGGTCAATGCCACAGTTTGAAGTCAAAGATTAACATAGTCTGTTATAAGGTATATGTTGTTTCCAGTGCATAATTTTCTCATCCTTCAAGGGATTTTGAAAATACCTTGCATACATGTAAACAATAATAAGACAATGTGTCATGCACAATATACGGACCCTTATCTCTAAGGTCAAAGCTACACTTGAGGTCAAAACTTAACATGGTATTTTACAGGGTATATTTTGTGCGCAGTCTATATTTTTAATTGTTCAAGGGATATTGAATTTCTTGGCATAAAAGTTCTCAATAATGGGACCATATGTCATATGAAACAGCTAGACTCCTATCTTCAATGTCAGGTCACACTTGAGTTCCTAAGCTTTACATGTATATTTTGCGTGCGGTATATAACTTTTTCCATCAATCAAGTTTTAAAATAGAATGGCACAATTGTAAACAATAATAAGACGACATTGCCATGCCCCCTACCTCAAATGTCCAGGTCACACTTAAATGTCAAAGCCTAAAATAGTCTGTTACAGGGAATGATGCCAAGTCAGGCACACGCAAATAAAATGTTATTGGTGAATTACCCACATACTTTGATTGATGACTGGAAACGAAATAAATCCTTTAACAGACCATATCCTGTATTGATATTGTATTTTGTCACATTTTATGGCTTTGAAAAAGTGATTCCAAATATACACACGTATTTCTGTTGACAAACAGGAGTTTTTCCGTTATATTTGTTTAATTAACGTATTGTTACTGGCATGTGCAGATCTAGCACAAAATTATGCACTGAAATTCAAGATCCATTTCTCAATTTTTTGAAATAGCACAATTTAGTGTTTCATGTAAAACTTCCTTAACGCGGGGGACGTTGGTAACTCTGTTACAAATTCTTGCATAATTACTTAAGCAAAACATTACTAGAATTTTTAATTTTGATGTACTTAATAGGAAGTGACACACTACCTGAAGAGCCAAAAATGATTAAAATTAGCAATGTAAATGTACATATGAATAGCGTTGTGGTGAAAAAAATTCTTAGAAAAGACAATTGAGTGTGACGGAAATGTTGTGGCTGTGACTGTTAATTCTGAAGAACGGTTTGCCATTGTTACCTTTGATTCATCTGCAGGTATGATATTGTATAAATTTATTGATGTTCTTTACTTGGTTTGACATATTTAAAGACAAAAATAAGACAACTATAATATATCAGTAGATTGTTAAAACACTTAAAATAAATCTCGGCGTTAGAAAAGGGATATGAGTTTTTATGCCTCCATTAATTTGAAACCTTAAATTACATCGATTAAAATGTTGTACCAAGTTTTGAAGAAATTCAATGATAACGAAGATCTATGATGGCTGATTTGTGCCATTGGTGTTTTCGCCCCGCAATCCCACCAAGCGAAAAGTCGAGAATGAACAAGTTTAAATGACGGGCGCGCGGAGTAAAAGCACGCTTATTAACGGAGGCACAGAGCGAGATTTAAGAAATAAAACGGCGGGTTGTGGCGCGAATATACGCTTATAAGCGCCCCTGCACCCCGTCCGTACAAATTATTTGTTAATTTTAGATCTATCCAGTCCAAATTTACAACAATCTGCTTAAGACACTTCAGAATTCAATATTGTTGATTTCTTAAGAAATGTCAAATGTGTTTAATAATGTTTCAAAAATAAATTTGGAGCATGTTATTTGTTTAAACACTGAGGGAAGCAGCAAATCAGCAAAAATAATGTACAAGAGGTGACTTGTATGAGAACATTTTAAAAACCAATTTTCCTACACGTATTTCAAGAGCTTGCCCGTGCAAATTATTAAAAATGTATAAAACTGTGTTATCTACGGTTACAAACTTCAAAATGGTAAGACGTAGAATTAGTGATTTAGTAGAAGGCATCGTGCACGGCCTTTTGAAGAAAAACATGTTGTACAGAAAAATAGTAAAAAGAACAAACGAAAAGTGGGTATACTGTTTCATCGGGGTACAACATTCCAAAGGTTTTATTCCCACGTGAAAACGTGAAAAAGGCAACGTACTACTGTTACAGATAAGGTCATCCGAAACATAATACGCATGCACCAAAACAAAAACTAAAGTGTACATAAGCTACCTAACAAGAAAATTCAGAAGAGACGTACAAGTTCTTTGCGTCTGTATCTCCGCTTAAATAGTGAATTAGTTGTCACTGTTTTTTCAAAGAACGTAGGGTCAAGTATTTAACCAAAAAGGGAATGGATACCAAAGAGTCCTGAGTCAGCAATAATGGACTTTGGAATCTGAAGCATCCTTAAACGCCGATTACGAAAGCGATAAATTTACACTTTTAGTTGACTTAAAAACTGGAGCAATCTACTATTATTATGACACTTTAAAGCTGTTCGAGGCAATGAGAATTATCTGCTATGCCCGTGGATCACAAATTGAACATTTGTTACAATGAAATAAAATAAATGGAATAATTAAAACAGAGTGAACAGTGTTAACATAAATACTTATTTCATTTAGTATATAGAAAATATGTATAATAGTTTTGGAAACTGTAACAAGATTCTAAAAATAAAAAAAGTTTTAAGGAAATAAAATTGACAGCATATGTGAGGCATAATAAGTCTTTCAAGTGAAATTTAAAAGAAACGATTGTCTGAAATACAAGTCATGATTGTCACTGCATCCAGTAACATATTTTGTCTGTTATATGCATTCAAGCATTTTCTTTTCAGCTGTATATGAGATAATGGAGAAGAGACCATTAATTATAATGGGGTTTGAGACTGATGTAGATGTTTACAGTAAGTAAGACTTCAAAAATCTATAATTACCGGTTTTACGATCCTTGAAGAGATCGTTCAGCACGACATTTTTGTTGTGCTTGTGTTAATTTAGTTCTTTATATTCGGCTAATTTCTTGTTGGATGGTTCCAGTATTCCACACTTGAATACTGTTGAATCACCCTTAGGATATGTGGCCTGCTTTTTAAATTTGTCTTTTGGCGTCTTATCTGTGATATACGGAAGCGTCCTGGTGCCAATTTAACATTTTCTATAAAAAAATAACTCCTACGTAGGACTTTATAAGTCCTACGTACGTAGAAGATAAAAAAGCCTAATTAGGAGTTTATAACTCTTACGTAGGACTTTGTAACTCCTACGTAGGACTTTATAACTCCTAATTAGGTTTTTTTATCTCCTACGTTATAAAGTCCTACGTAGGAGATAAAAAAAAAACCTAATTAGGAATTTTAAAGTCCTACGTAGGAGTTTAAAAGTCCTACGTAGGAGTTTATAACTCCCACGTAGGACTTTTTAAGTGTTCTTCTATGTAGGAGTTATAAAATCCTACGTAGGAGTTATAAAGTCCTAATTAGGGTTTTTTTAACTCCTACGTAGGAGTTATAAAGTCCTACGTAGGAGTTTGTTAGTTCTACGTAGGACTTTAAAACTTCTAATTAGGCTTTTTAACTCCTACGCAGGAGTTATAAAGTCCTACGCAGGAGTTATAAAGTCCTACGTAGGAGTTTGTAAGTCCTACGTAGGAGTTACAAACTCCTAATTAGGCTTTTTTATCTCCCACGTAGGAGTAATAAAGTCCTACGTAGGACTTATAAACTCCTACGTAGGACTTATTAACTCCTACGTAGTTACAAACTCCTAATAAGGCTTTTTAATCTCCTACGTAGGAGTTTTTTTTTATAGAACATTATGAATTGGCACCAGGACGCAGGCTTCATAACCTCTGATCCCCTTTTAGAATTCCATTTTATTTAGTTCCGCCCATTGTTTTTTCGTTTAGGACACAGGCAATTTTTAACTTGGGGACCATATGCCGCTTTTCATGGAATGGCACTTACGAGTCACATTGAAGGTTCCATGATAACCGCCATATGATTACATCTGCGGATGTTTCTAAATTCAAAATTTTACCAGTTCATGTTAAATGTTGAATTCTGCTTAAGCCGGTGCTAGGGCGCGTGGACGGTAACTTGCACTTTCCAGAACAGGCTCAACCAAACCGATCCTGCAACATTTTGCCGTATTTGGTCTTTCTTCAGGGATTCTTAGTTTCTCTATTTCAATACTTTTGTTTAGCCGCGTTAAACAGTTTCCCTTTGACATTTTTCATTTTTTTTATAAATACAAATCTCTTTTTATGTATGAATATAAGAGGAAAGTGAGTGAAATTAAAGATTCAGTAATAAGGTTTTTGACTCCTTTGAAAAATAAGACAAAAAGAATATGTGAAAATGATATCATGCCTTTTTCAAGCGCTGGTAAAGAACAGAATTTAACTCTTTGCCACAAAGTTTTGAGATTTTTTATTATGCATAAAAAATGAACAATAACCAATTTTTCATGTTGAATTTCTATCAAAATTTTTCAGAATTTTATCATGTATAAATCAAATGATAAAAGTGTGGGACAGTCTTTTTTTTTGATTTTAGACATTTTTATATTTTTCATTATCAGTTATTGGTCAATGAAGACGTTTAACATATTTGTTTTTAAATATATATCTTATTCAGCTCAATTTGACAGCTCAAAAATAAACATAATATCAATTTAACTATCAATCATGTTGTTTTCTCAATCTATCACCCAATTTGTTTTTGAACATAATAAGTAATTACAATGAACGTAATGATGACATCAACGGCTGGAAAAAAAAGTATTTGACTGTTTAAGAAAATAACTGATTAAAGATAAGAATAATTACCGGTTTTAGGTCGGAGAGATATATAGAATGAACGGACAAAGTGGACTAAATAATCATGTTAATAGAATTTTATTTCTTTTTTCAACCTAAGTTTGATGATTAACTATGATACAAGACTTTTTTGTTTTCACTATCAGAAAAACATCAGTTTAAAACTTATTATATGAAAGTATTTTGAATTCTTCTTGGGGTGATGTGTTTAAATGGACGTTTTGGTGTGTTTTGCTATGAACATATAAGTATGAACATTTATTAGCAATATTGTAAATATCTTGAATATTATGAGGTCCAAAACAATTAAATGACACATAAGCCTGTTATTTCTTAAATGTAACCTAGAATTCAAAGAAGTATACAATAGGGTGAACGTTTCGGTAATCTAAAACGCGGCGTTCGTGCGTGCGTATTTCGTATATCTTGCGTGCGTATATAGGGAAATGTGCGGTTGATAAAACGCTTTCTCAAGCGTGCATCGTTTACAAGCGTTGAACGTCTATCGTTTTTCATGTAATCGTTTTTTGTTTATCGTGCGTTTGAAAGCGTGCATTTCTTATCTCCAGAAACGTCTAGCGTGCGTCTGCCTTCGTCAAAACGTTTTAGTACCGTGTTTTGCGTCTGTTACTATTGAGAAGAAAAGAATATCTGAAATAGATCTATTTTGAAAATTTAGGTTTCTTAAAGATGTTAAATATGTTCAGTGTCTCTTTCGAAAAATAGAAACATTAATGCTGTGATATTTACATGAAAATGTGTGACATAATTCAAGATATTTTCCTCCTTATTCACCTGAAATTGCCTTTGTGACTTGTTTTTCCCAAATTTATAGCATAACCTTCCAGGTCGACAATTTGTTCAGCATAATCACCTTCGTACCTCGATATCCACTGTCTTCATAGTAATTCTAAGAAGTAACAAATTTTACTTGCCTAAATTTTAAACATTTTTAAAAACAAAAATTGTAATCAATTAAAACAATTTACTGTTTTTTGTAAAGAAATTAGCAATAATTATGTATAATGGAAATATTTGATTAATCATATTATGAATTATTACCCCTCACTTTTTCGAAATGATAATTTCGCATAGGCCTATGTGAGGTATTCTTAATATTAATGAAATTGTACCACGTTATTAAGAATTTTGTACTGTAACATAGGTAACAGTTCTTTTTAACAGTATAAGATCTGTCACGTGGTCTATTTTCTAAATAAAATGAAATTAAATGTCCGTTATTTTTTCTCGAGTCATTCTTGTTTTCGACGTTCACCACGATAGGACATCACCATCTTCTCTGGAGTAACTATGACATCCATAAAATTTACTAGTAGTTGTTTGCATCATGGATTGCTTTTCGCGTATAAAAGATCTTTTTGTTGAGTAGTCAAAAAGTAAACATCCGTTTTCAACGGATGTAATTGCAATGTAAATAATTATGTGTCATACTGGAACATACAGACGTTTTTAGCATGCAACAAAGGATTATTACACAATTTTAATCATTGAAACGTTACCGATATGATGGACAGACATAGGATATCATCGTTATTTTGTCAAAAATTATGCGAAGAATATTACAGAAGGATCAGATTTCACAGATCATAACTGTATAAATGGATTAGTGTTTTGTTTTCTAAATGAAACACAGCTTATTTTGTATGTTAATGACTAGTCGAAATCATCACTTGCTTACAGAATAAAAAAGAAATAGTCCTAAATAGGCCTAAACTACACTTAAAACTTAAGAGGTAAGGACAGTTTAGTTATTGTTAATCTTGGTTTATTTTTGTTACAGTTAGATTTAGTTGACAATTTCAGATCATCACAGTATTTTTGTTCGATGTAATAAAATAAATAACACATTGGTTTGTGAGTAACAGTAAAAATATCAACCCACAAACCCATGTGTTATTTATTATATACTGTTGTCAGAATTTTTTTTGTAACATACAAATGTACTGTTTTTATTCACAGAGCATGTTTAAGATTTTAAGGCTATATGATTCCGCCCGTTTCCTTCTAGACATCATCTTTTAGTCATAAAAGCACTGCAATTCTTCAATTCTATGCACAAGTTATCAATGCGTTTGAATATTATTTAGAAGCTTCTTTTCCACATCTGAATAATAAGTTATCATCAAGTTTAAAAGACCATCAAATTGATAGAATTTACCTGTATTAAATATGAGACTTTTTTTTACTCAATAGTTAACAATTCTAAAAATAACTGATCACTCGAAAGCAATACAAATCTGACAAAAATAAAAATTAAAAAAAAGGTAATCATAGTTTGTTGTCTGACTCCTATATTGAGCTAATTTATCTCATCTCATTTCATGTATTGACTCTATATGTGTCTAAGTATCAGGAACTTTACTTTAACCTGTAATAGAACTTTAGGGCGCATCTATTTTAGTATTCTTTTTTGTCGCTTTTAGTATTCAATGGCTTGAAATAACTTCTTTCATACTTATCATATTAAACTCAAATTGAGAACACCATGTACCTGCTAGTGAGACTTTCCTGCTCACGAGCAGAAGTGCAATTAAATATCTATTATAAACATACTTTAATAGGTGCTTAAGTTTCATTGATATATTTTAGAACTGTGTGCTTGCGTCTCGTTCAAATTTCGTTAACGTTCTTTTTATGTTATATAACGATTATTTTTGGGTTTTTTTATTATCTGAACATTTATATTTGAAGACAATATCCTGCAATATTTACAAAATTGGTATTCATATGTACCAATTTAAATGTTCTGGTTCGGAAGGTATTGACAAAGATGAATGTCAGTAGACGGTGACAATAAAGTGGATTCCTTTTTTGAAACGAATTTTTAAAAGTCACATCATCAACTAAATGATATTTTCTTTCTTGAGGCGTCACTGGAATAACGTCGCTGATAATTCTAGATAATAATCAAATAATTATGACAAATATATCGAATATTTACAAAAAATTAGACGTCCACCATATTATGTGTAATACATCGCTTTGAAATATAGTATTTCGTAATATAAGATTTTTGTCACCATTTTTATCTCTCTCGCAAAGAAGGATGTATATTTAAAATTTTCTTTTATAAAATTAAATAAATCGAAATCCGTAAAAAATGAAAGATATTTCTGAAACATTTTGTATGAAAAGTTGAGAGAGAAAAACCCATCATGCACATCTTTACTAAATGGTGTTAAACTGTTAGAAACTATTAGACGAGCTTAACAACTGTCTTTTTCAGGGGACAAAGTTACTTCACAAACTGAACATGCTGAAAGTGGAACACACAGAGCAGCATCTTTACAAACAACAGGTTGTATTTTTCTTTAGTTATGACGAAATCATGCACTATAATTGACCGATAAATGTGTTACTAAAATTAGTTTAAAAAATATGGAATATAATGTTCTACCTATCATTAGTCGCTGTATATGATTTTCGGATATAATAATACCTTATTATTTTTAAGCAACTCGTACAACAGTTAATGTCTCTTTAAAAAAGTTTCATAATCTCCGGTGCATAAAATCCATTATACGTAACATATTATTCTATTACACATGCAGAAACTAGACATACAAGATTTGGTGAAAACGAACCTGATTCTTCACAAGAATACGGTATGTGAATAAATTTAATATAATGGCAACATGACAACATGCACATCCGCTTTCTAAAAAAAATGTTATTTTAATTATCTATTTCAAATATATTTGATACTAGAAAGTATGCTACAAAATTGGGAAAAAAGATTCTGCAACAACACCGCCATGAAATTTGAAATTTTACGAGCATCTTATGCACTTAATCGATCGTAATTATGAATAATCAGTCTGTCCATGTTTAGGGTCGGATGAGTTTTGTATAGTTGTTTGAAAATACTTTAATCGGTATCATTTGATTTAAAGAAATTTTAAAAACTGGAGACCGATTTCTGTATTAAGTGTTTTTTTTTATGAAATTGCATCAGCTAGTATTGTCCAACGCCATAAAACGGTATAAAATTAACTTACAAGTGGAGGTCAAACTGGTTTCTTAACTGAAAAACAAATAGGTGACAATATAAGACTTATCTAAGACTAATCTAGTATGATAATATTAAATATACAGATTATCGTCAAACTCCTGGAATTTTGCTACTTATTGATTTGGCAACAGCCTTTGATTCTATATCATAGGCAGTTATGCATTATGTTTTAGAATTCTTCTAGTTTGGTGAACATTTTATAAGTTAGCTAAAATAGTTAACAAAATCATTCATTCTTGTGAAACAATTAATGGACATTTGTCAGACTGCTTGCAAGTACAACGTTGGTGTGGTTTATATTATGTGCAGAAATTCTTGCATTACTTATCACAATTAATACATATATAAAAGGTGTCAGACTTTAAGCATGTACCTCGGTATTTCTATGATCTCAATATGCTGATGACATAACTATAATGCTTGATGGAACTGTTAAATCTCTAAGACACACTATGCAAGTATTAAATTTTATGCCAAAATTTCAGGTCTCAACATTAACGTATATAGAACAAAAGCAGTATGCATTCCTTCTATTAAAGGAAAAATCGCATAACATGTCCGAAGTTTAATCTTAAGTGGAAATCTTCAAATGCTTTCAGTTACTTGGTGCTACTTTTACCATTTGTTTAAATTACATAATTCAGGCTTATTATTTATTTTAACGGGAGGAAATTTATTTAGTTATTTACTCCACGGTCAAGACGAATTATACTCCTATTGGTAAAAATGTTGTAATTACGTCATTAGCATTACCAAATGTAAAGAACCTCATTCTTAGTTTGCCAAACCTTGATATAGAAACAATCAAAATTTAAAAGACTGCTTCCTTAAATTCCTATGGAAGTCAGGACTAGACGAAACAAAAAGGAATGGTTGTTATGCAGAATTATGAAAATGGGGTTTTCAGAATGATACCTTTAGATACTTTCATAATGTCTAAAATTGGCATTGATAAGAAGGATAGTAAAGTAAAATACCAATTTAAAAGTAATTTTGTAAATAACAGTGGCGTGAACTTTGCTCACTCCCTGTTTTTTGCAAATCTATGCATAAAATAGGTGGTTCTACTGTTTTTATTATTCAAAATATATGTAAATATGGGCATAATATTGATAAATTACTTCTTAGACAGTAGAAGTAATTTGCTGTCATCAATACTAAGTTTGATTTAAATACCATTTTAAAGAGTATCAAAACATTATATAGTCTATTATGAGATATTTCAATCAAATATCTATTAGACACAAAGTTCAGAAATAGGAAATGCCTATTCAGCCTTTTATGATAAAGATAATAAAAAGCCATAAGAAAGGATGTAGACACATTTTTCTAAGAGCAAATACACCCTTTAATGCTAAGAGAAAAATGGGAAGATAAACTCAATTTGAATGTCAATTTTATTTTGAATTGCTTCTATATGCTTCTTTTTAATATTTTAAAGGATTCGAATTAACAATGTTTTCATGTATAAAGTTAATCACAGGATTTTGGCGACAAAATATCTCTTACATAAAATGAGAATAAAAGATGTTAATAAATGAAACAAATAGGGTTTTATAGCTTGCAATTTATGGGTCAAATACATAATGTATGTGGTGTACGGACATAATCCCCTTCGGACAAAATCCCCTTCATGTATTTTTGTATATCTGGACATAATCCCCTCCATGGGTGGACATACTCCCCTTCATGTGTGAAATTTTGAAGTGGACAAAATCCCCTTCATAAGATTGCTACCTAGGACAAAATCCCCCTCTGAGGAATGTTCGGTTTATAAAGTGGGATACTGCATTATGCTGTGTGGTAAATATCTTAATGTATAAATAAGTAGAAAATACTTCAGCAGAAAAGCACATTCAATTAGCACACTTTAATCACATTACAATTGCTTTGTTAAAGCATTCATAACAATCAATCAAGTAGTGCAGTGATCTTGGTATGATTTAATTATTACTCATCAATAGAAATTGTAACAATAGAAAGTATAAATCAATTAGAATTATCAACTTATACAATCAATGAAACAATTATTGGCTAATAAAAATGTTTTTCATACTAATCAATTTGAAACAATTAAAGAAATTGCCTAATCAAATATGTGTTATTCAGTTGATAATTTATCATAATTTTCATGAAAACTTCTAAACTAAATAAAGGTTAACTATTGATACATAATTATAAATAATAAAAAAAAGTTCATTAGTCATTAATTTTAGGGAGTATAATAATTCATTATTCATCATTTTTTATGGAGCATAATAATACATTAGAAACCTAAGAAACAAAGGGGATTTTGTCCGGGTAGTGAAGGGGATTTTGTCCAGTCTTGCAAAAAAATGAAGGGGATTATGTCCAACCATGAAGGGGATTTTGTCCAGGTAGGCGAAGGGGATTTTGTCCGAAGGGGATTATGTCTGACATTCAATGTATGTTTCTTTGCTGGCTAACTGAAACTTACTTTCTTTAGATGATTAATCTAAGATTGATACAACCAGTACTTTACCAGCTGCCTTTTTTTTCTTTTTTCCCTTGAACATCTCTTGTGACCTTTGGTCTTTTTTTTCTCATGATATTATTTCAACATGTATTCATTACAAGAGGTACAACTCTAAATTTGATATCAGTATTTGAATAGCAGGAGTTGTTTCCCTTGAGTTGATGACAATTTTGTCCATCAATGTTCTATTGGAATTTCTTCTTTATATTAAAGAAGTTCTATAATATCGTCGCTTGAAAAACGTTTTGTTCTAAGTGCCAATTTGTTGTTTTTGAGAAAAAAGCATGTAAAGATTTAGTATTGCACAACTTTTTTATTTATTGTCGGATTTTGAAAATTTAAAAACTAGTAAACGTGATGTCGAGAGAACAACTCAATATCGCTTAAGATATGTGGATTTTAATATTTCCTTGCTTGTAAACCTAAAAAAACATTTGGAGATAGAACAGTCCTTGTAACTTTTTTTCAAAAATTGTTAAAATCAGAGTTTGTTCAATGTGACTTAGAACATTATGTCTTTTAAGTTGAATTGATTTATATTCATATAAAACAGTATTTTATCTTTAAAATGCTGCCAAACATGCTCTCGGCTAATTATCACTTGATCAGTTGACTTTGACACTAACACTATTTCTTAGACCATATGTATCTAAACTACATGAACTATGACATTCGAAATCTTATTAAAATCCTTAATCCATTATATTATTAAATGGCATTTAAACAAATAATGTAAATAAAATAAAGATAAAATACCCACATACATTTTCTAGACATTTTATCTATTTTTATAACTTTGGCCATTGCTATTAAATACAATCAAAGTGATTCAATGTCTGGAAAAAAAAGTTATACCCGCAAACGGAAATAGAAAACTTTCAAATCTTCTAGAATGCTGGAAAAAATCTTTCAAGATTTTTTTCATGAAAATTCAAGAGATGGTCAAATTCAAATTCCTTTCAAAAGTATGAAATAATAGTAATTATTTTGTTATGCGCTTTAACACGTTATGTTTGTGTTGGTAAGAAGTTCTTCTAATTAAAGGTATGAAAAAAAAGTTTCTATAACTTAAGTAGGCAATGAAAACATATCTGCTAGAAAATACCTTAAAGATGGAGCAGGCATGACTTATATTTGAAAAATGTCATATTAAAAGATTGTTCGTGTACAAAAACATTACAAACATGATGCTATATAAATATTCATTTAGAAATTCAAAGGCCAAATTACAAGACAAACAAAATATACGTAAAAGAATATTTTCCTCCTTCTGTCTGTGGTATAAAATGTGTTACTTTAAAAGCAATCTATTAGTTATAAAATATTAACGCTTTCGAAAACATATATTATATGTAAACGTTATATATTTACTTCTATAAATTTTCTTTTAAGGCCTTTTTTGCCCAGAAATGCTTTTATCTTAATCTCTCAAAAGCCTGATATTTGGAGTTCTGTTATAGTTTTCCAAAAATATTCCACATTGGTCAGTAACCTAAACCATCTTATGCTTTTGTTTCATATTGGCAATGAGTACAGTTACAGTCATTTAGTATTTTGAATGGAAGTAAAAAATACTACATTGTTGACATTTCGCTACTGTTATTATAAAAACATTTTTCATTCATAAGTATATAATTCAGTATAATTCAGGCGAATAGCTTCTAGCATGCTGTTGATCATTATTTTACAATTTTTTTTAAATTCTTAATATGTGTCTGTTATAAAGATAAATAATTGGTTTTTGAGACAGAATGTGCCTTAACTTAAAGAAGCTTAAGAACATATAGCAAATTTCTTTTTTACGAATTTGTTTTGATGAAATTGTATGATCGCAGTTGTTTCTATCCGAAAATACACATCCGAAATTACTTTCAAATCACGATCAGTTTTGCTTGTTGTTTAAAAATCAGGAAAGTTAAATTACAAAAGTCTTAATAATAAAATGTCAATGATTGGCGGAATAAATGAATACATAATATCATTTAATACTTATATTTAGTATAAATATAATGAAATAAACAGCAAACCATCGAACTCAGAATGTTTCGTACAACATGGCGGTGTCCTGCTATCACGTGATTCTATGCTATGTTTTGAT